GATTTGGGAGGCATTGGTAGTACCAGTAATTTCTAGTTTCCCAGGGAAAGATCAAAAAAGTCTACTCAAGAAAATGCTTGCTGATAGAAACAGAGATGTTACCTTCAAAATTGCTAAGTATGGTTGGCTGGCAATTAAGCTGAGGAAAATATGGATAAGTCATGCTAGCTGATATTTTAGAGACTGTTTTCTAAGTAATTTAACTTCTATCACTTAATATTTTAGGTTATTAGTGGTTTATTTATGTATTCTACAAATATTATATTCCTGTATAGGGAACAGAAATGTTTTAAGTTTGGGGTTTTACTTCTTTTACTGTGTACTGGTCAATGACTGTAATAAATTTACTTACTTACTATAAAATGTTTGTAACTTCCTTTGTTCTTTGAAATTCAGGCTTTTGAGGCTTGGGTTCTCCTTTGTTCGAATAAAGTTTTCTGCTCACTTCAGAAGACTCACTGGTTGTGTTTCTGATGGGGACTAACATGCAGGGGCATAGCCAGCACTGGAGTGTTGGGGGGCACCCCCTATCATATTTGCGATGTGTGGATGTGTGGCTAAGTCACCTGGGGTGCTGCTTGGGCACTTTGGGTCTTCTTGGAGCAACTGGGAGCATAGGAGGGGGTTAAAGGAGAGCCAGTTTGGTGTAGTGGTTAAGTGCGCGGACTCTGATCTGGGAGAACCGGGTTTGATTCCCCACTCCTCCACTTGCACCTGGCTGGATGACCTTGGGCAAGCCGTAGTTCTGATAACAGCTATCCTTGAAAAAGAGCAGTTTCTGTCAGAGCTCTCTCAGCCCCACCTACCTCACAGGGTGTCTGTTGTGGGGAGGGGAAGGGAAAGGAGTTTGTAAGCCGCTCTGAGACTCCCTTGGGTAGTGAAGGGCGGGGTACAAATCCAATCTCTTCTGTTCTTCTTCTTTTTTAAAAGGAAGCCTCGGCTTTGGTTTGTCTTGAAATTCTCTCTGGAAGCACAGAAGGCACTTAAAAGCCTGCGTGGCTCCTGTGGCTGCTGGGAAGTTGGAGGCCAGGAGCAGCTGAAGGAGGCACTGGCAGAGCACTGACTGCCCTGGCTTGTTCTCTCCAGACTACCTCCAGGCTCGAGGAGGGGAGCGCAGCTGGTCGGCGGATGCTGCCCACCCAGGAGGGCTGCAGGGCAGGGCTTTGGGAGGGCCACACTGGCAGGGGTGGCTTTCCAATCTGCTCGAGGCCCCCATCACCCCCTCACGACATCAATTTCCCTCCCCCCAGTGGCACGCCTCATCTGGCATCGTTCCCTCCCTCCTCCTTTTAATTAAGTGCCAAATATAGATCAATTGTGGTGCTGATGGGTTTAATTCTGAGTGGTGGGGCTGCTGTAACACACAGAGCCCGGTACCAGCTTTGGATGATGGGGCTGGCAGGAGCCTGGCAAGAATTCTTTACAACCCCCCACCAACGTGCTGCTGACCGACACTAATCCCTGCCTGCCCCCCAGAATATTCAAGAAAGCTGCCTGGCTGGTTCTTCTGCTTCAAACAGGAGCAAATCAGTAGTTGGTGGCGGGGAGAGGCTGGCAGGTATCCACTCCCCTTGGACTGCCCTGGCTGCTGAAATATGGGGTGAGCCTGGGCATTTCTCTTCATCTCCCCCCACCCCCAGCTAGGAGGCATTTCCATGAGCAGGTGGAAGGACCAAATGAGGGCAGAAGCCCCACTAGGTAAGAAGCGAAGGAGAAGAAAGAAAGAAAGAAAGAAAGAAAGAAAGAAAGAAAGAAAGAAAGAAAGAAAGAAAGAAAGAAAGAAAGAAAGAAAGAAAGAAAGAAAGAAAGAAAGAGAAGTGGGTTTGGAATGCGGCTTGTGTGCGCGCAGGGGAGGGTTTTGTAGAAAAAGCCCAGCAGGAACTCATTAGCATAATAGGTCACACCCAACAGCAGAAACTCATTAGCATATTAGGCCACACCCCTGACAGCACAGCTCATTCGCACATTAGGCTGCACCCCCATGTTACCAGAAGTGTGGTCATCCAGCCACACCCACCTTTTGCTCCTTATTCTACCTTGTTTGTTGTCAAAACCCAGGGCTTTTTTTGTAGCAGGAACTCCTTTGCATGTTAGGCCACACACCTCTAATGTAGCCAATCCGAATGAGTTTCTGCTTTTGGGCGTGGCCTATTATGCTAATGAGTTCCTGCTGGGTGTGGCCAACTCAGGAGCCCGCCGGAACTCCGTTCCTGTGCCCAAAAATAGCCCTGTGTGCGCGTTCCATTGGGAAGGGTCATCCTTCTTTGCTGCTGCAGCTTTCTCCTCCACCTTCTCCAGTTTCTCCCCCACTTTCCACTTTGGCCACAGGAGCCAGCTTTTGTTGGGGTGTTAATTAAATTAGTGTTAATTAAATCAGTGCCCTGCCTGGCACCATAGTGCCCCCCCCAAAAAAAACCTCCTGGCTATGGGGCTGCTAACACACCAGGCAATGACTTTTCAGAAGCCTCTCCATAAAGTTCATACTAAAAGAAACTACATTTCCCCTCCTATTGCTGAGCACTCTAATATTCTTATATTTCAATATGGAATAATATTTATTCTAGTGGTAGATTTCCTAATATTATGAAGAACCTTAACACTGTCCTCCTTATGTACTATTTTTGCACCACTGTGATAACCCATCTGAACATAAATTCAATAACCAAAATTCTGACACGAGGACACGGTGCCAGCCCTAAAGATCTTTGAATAATTAATTTGAGATCTGTATCAAACCAAAGGAGAAGCTGCCATTTCAGTATCTGCCAATCTTAAATCTGTGCCCGTTATACAGCTATATGGTGGAGAAGGGTGTCAAGAGACAAAGGCAAGTATAAAAGCTGCAGCAGTCTTCCGGGTAGAGCCAAACATAGGCACACGGTCTGAATTGAACATTCATTGAAAATGTTCAGCCAAACTTCTAGCATTATAAAAGGGCACATTCAAATTGTTTATGGGATCCAAACAAAGGCAAAACACCGAAGCCAAACGTTTGCGAAATGGAAACCCTTGATCTTAAGGAAAATTTCATACATCTGAGAACACATCATCTTAAATGGTACAGTGCATAATTCTGCTTAAAATGGCTCTAATAAAAATCCAGCTGGGTTCTTGCTACCTCTTATATGATTTCTGTTTCAGTGATTCACCATCCTTACAATGTTGTTGAGGAGGAAAAATGATGCAGCTTTTGGGTGGCAAAAGTGCTGTGCTCAACAAAGTAAATAGATATAGACAATTAGGAGCCACTTTGAATAAAACTGTTGCTCTCTTACAGAAATGCTCTTGCCAATATCCCTACATCAAAATAATGTGAGATCATTAATTACATGTAAGTAGTTCTGAGAAAGATGCAGCCCAGCAATGGGTACCAGGAAGGGCCCAATAGCAACTCATTTGCAGAACTGTCTGTACATTATTACCATTATTGTTTTACATGTGGCCTGGTGACATCTAGAGTAGACGGCTGTCTAGTGCTGTCTGTGGAGTTGCTCTTGAAAAGCTCTTGGAAACTATCATTATTCCAGAATGTGACTGCTAGGGTTGCCAGACCCCCACCCCGGTGGAGGTCGGGGTCCCCCTCCACCAGGCCCCACAGTCCTGCTGCCAATCAGCTAGCCAACAGGGGGGACTTACCTTGAAAAAGAGCAAAGCCCAGCTGATGTTGCAGCAACATGTCTATGTCACTTCTGGCATGACCTGAAAGTGACATCATCACATCGGCAACATCACATCGGTGACGCTCTGGTATTTTGGGGGAAATTCTATGGTAGAAGCCAAATTTATCATAGAGTTTTGGTCCAAATACCAGTGTCAGACTCCTGAGGCGATCAATTTCCAACAATATTCATTCAGAAAAGCGAAGTTTATTGAGACAGCAGTGCTACAGGTATCATAACTATTTCATGTTAGAACTAAAGAGAAAACGCACGAAGCAAAGAGATATACATAACTCAAAGGGGTCCCCTGATGGCCCCTAGCCAGCAGAAGCCCACCAAAGTAATGGGTAACATTTCCCAGGAGTAAGACTACACCAGGGACTCAAGGTCATATAACACAGAAGACAGATAATAAACTCAGTGTAGGCACAGCAGAAACAAAACTTGTCATTCCAAAGCATCCCCCCCCCCATCTACATGACAGCCAGGCAGGAGGCCTAGCTGACAACCAGTGTCACACCAATGTCACTGTGAGATTATGTCACTTCAGGATCACGTCGGAAGTGCACGTCACTGATATGTCACTGCAACGTCAGCTGGGTCTCCCTGTGGCTCCCAGTAAGTCCTCCTCCATCCTCCACTGGTTGCCAGGAGGGACCTGGCAACCCTAGTGACCGCCTAACTATTGACAGAGGCCAGGCACTTTGATCATATCACTCCAACTTTGACTTAGCTTCACTGGCCTCCCATTTGTTTCCAGACTTAATTTAGCTTTTTAACCTTTAAATCTTTGGGAAGTTTGTTCAACTCTTACCCAGGTAGGTGGGTAACTGTACATTTTCCTTGAGTCCAGTGGCACCTTTAAGACCAACAAAGTTTTATTCAAGGTGTGAGCTCTTGTGTGCACACACTCTTCCTCAGACAGTCTGAGGAGGGGTGCGTGCACACAAAAACTCACACCCTGAATAAAACTTTGTTGGTCTTAAAGGTGCCACTGGACTAAAACTTTGTTCTAATGCTTCAGACCAACATGGCTACCCACCTGAATGTACGTTTTGCTTTTAAAGAATGAAATGGTATCTTAAACCAAGGGTTGCCAGCCTCCAGCTGGGGCCTGGAAATCTCCCAGAATCACAGCTCTCCACAGAGATCAGTTCCCTTGGGAAAAAATGACTGCTTTGGAGGATGGACTCTATAGCATTACACTCTGCTGAGGCCCCTCCCCTCCACAAACACACCCTCCCAGGCTCCACCCCGAATCTCCAGGAATTTCCCAACCCAGAGTTGGAAACCTTTTATGGAGAAGGCGAATGTTTTCCCACATCCAAGTAGTTCTCTCACCTGGGTTTGGGAAGGCTTAAAAGCAGAATCAAAGCTGTGCTGCAGAGAGTCCAGAAACGGCTGGATTTTGTAGAGGCCATGGGTCGTCTGACTGGAACGAAAGGCCACAATATGGAAGTACTTGAGAATCTTCTCAAATCTTGGCTGAGTCATGATCAGTGCTATGCTCTTGTTACTATAGAAACCACTACTCCAGATGCTGAGGACAGACTCACAGTGGTGAGTACTTGTGGAGATCATGTATGCAAGGAAAGCCTTCATTTCTGTCAGGGTGACATCTGTCCAGGTGTCATCACTCCCAAACCGTTCCTGATACTTCTTGGCATACATATTAGTTTGCACCACCATGTTCTTTAGCACATTGTCGGGGACAAACAGTTGGAAGAAATCCATGGCACTGGCAGCTGGTGGCATTTTGCGAGTTGGGCCTAGAAAGCAAAAGGAAAAATATGAAGCCTATTTTTGTAGTTACTAATGTAACTTGTTGTTGTTGTTGCTGTTGTTATTATTATTGGATTTTTACAGTGATGAGTGAGTTTATGGGCTCCTCAATGAGTTTATGGCGAAGTGGAGATTTCAACCTAGGTCTCCCCAGTCCTAGTTTAATACTTAAAAAATCATACCACACTGGCTTTCAGTTCATTAGAGCCAGGTAAGAACAATATTCAGAATAGGACTGAGGAGACCTGGGTTCAAATTCCTGTTCAGCTATGAAGCTTACTGGTTGCCCTTGGGTCAAACAGTCTCAGCCTCAGTTCTTGGGAAGATAAAATAGAAGAGGGGAAACCCTAGGCTTGCCACCTTCCAGATAGGGGCAGGGGATCGGTGGGAGGGCTCTTCCTGGGCCCACGCCTGAAGAGCTTGATCGGGGTGAGTGACGGATCCGTGGGGGTGG